ATTATTATTATTATTATCATCATCATTATTATTATTTGTTTTTATTATTATTATTATTATTATTATTATTATTGTTATTATATTTATGAGAGTTAGAAAGGAATTATTATTATTTTTATTTATTAATTATTATTTTATTATTAATATTATTATTATTATTATTATTATTATTGTTATTGTTATTTTTATGAGAGTGAGAAAGGAATATTATTATTATTATTATTATTATTGTATATATATATTGTTGTTATTATTATTGAGAGTGAGAAAGGAATATTATTGTTATTATCATTATCATCATTATCATCATTATTATTTTTAATATTATTATTATTATTATTATTATTATTATTATAAATTAACCAAAATACACCAAGTAGGACAAAAGTAGTTTAGGACTAGAAATAGTGTTGGAGAAATAATTAAAGTAATAGTAATTTGTTCATTTTAGTGCATAATAATGTTAAGGGGGAAACTGTCAGCCATATTCATTGATCTCCATTTGGTACGTGTGCCCCTAAGACATAAGATTGTGGCTCTCAAAGTTGAGATAGTTAGATCCACCCTAATACCTGAGCATAGTTGGTGTTCCATTATTTTTATTATTATTATCATTATTATTATTGTTATTGTTATTATTATTATGAGAGTGAGAAGGAATATTATTATTATTATCATTATTATTATCATTATTATTATTAATTATTATTATTATTTTTATTTTTATTGTTATTATTATTAAGAGAGTGAGAAAAGTCTTCAACATCTTGTGAAACAGTTCAGAGGAATAGGACTGAGTATGAATACAGGGGAAAGAAAGTATTGAACAAAAAATATCTATAACAATAAGTTATTTCTTATCTTTTAAAAATAGATATGTAAGAAGCTCTTCTTGTTCGTATACAGTATCAGAAATTGTACTTACAAGAACTTGAGGAGGCATTTCCTTCAAATTGGAATAAAACCTAGGTAAAAATAATAAGAATAATCCAAAGAAGAGTAATTAAAATTTTTAATGAAGGGTTCATGGGAACACTGGTCGCATTTCTTGTCATGCTGTTTCTGTGGAAGGCATTAAAGATGTGGTAGCATTTTTGGAGAACTATGCTGAAGACTACGCCATTTTACTACCTGGGAGGATACCTTGAGTGAGGGATTATGGGAAGGCCAAGCTATTGCTGTCCAGTGTGTCCCGACGCATGGTTTACCGGCAGTATGCTGATGCTGGTAGGGAACATACTCTCTGTGAAAGTTCCTTTAAAAGAATATGGAGAAAGTATATTCCCCACATTTACAGCATCAAGCCAATGACGAACTTATGCTGGACGTGCAAAAAGAACAGCACTGCAATTTTAAGGAATGCTGGGTGTGAGATTGAGCATCAGTCTGAGGTACATTTATTATTATTAACAATGTAATTATTCTTGCCTGTAAAATGCTATCCCTTAGTGAGTAACTTTGTCTTTAGTTAACTTGTTAATTTCATATTACTTTCAAGAATAATGATACTACATGAACATACAGTACTATTCCTTCATGTGTTAGTAGTAGCTAATGGTATTTAAAACATGTTAATGTGTATTGTGTTCTTATTATTAGTATAACTTACCTTAATCTCTTTTTGTTGTTAGAAGAAAAGGAGACATCATAGGGGTAAATGGAAGCATTGACCAGGTGGCGGGAGAGGAGCAGGAAGAGGAGGTGGCCAAGAAGGAGGAGATGGACAAAAAAGAGGGGCAGCTGGCCAAGGAAGCGGGGGAGGTGGCCAAGGAAGCGGGGGAGGTGGCCAAGGAAGAGAGGGAGGTGGCCAAGGAAGAGGCCAAAGAGGAAGAGGAGGCCCTGCTACAACAGTAAGAGAAAGAAACATCATTAAACATAACAATAACAACAAATTTTTCATAGGATTCATCCACAAGTGCAAAGACAATAAACTATTTTAACGTTACATGTAAAGAACTTAATTATACTTCTAAATAAAAATAATATATATATTACCTGTAAACTCAAGGAAAAGCGATGGTTGGATTTGAATGAAGTATGGGGATGATCCGTGTTCAAAACAGTCCATAATTAGAACTTTTAGCACTAGAGGACGTAATAATAACTCTGTAACTAGGTAATGAAAAAACTTTCTAGTATTTGAAGCCACCATGAATGGCAGGGCTTGAGACAACTCTTACGATGTCCATTATACAAGAAATGATAGTTCAAATGCTGTGATAGCAAGTCAAAAGTGCTTCTTTCTTCATTCCCCGTTTATTAATTGATTTGGGTGTGGTTTTTCCTGGTAGGCGTGGTTTCATGTACTACATGAACGGGCATGACACGGAAACATTGAAAATAACTTAAAATGGCTTTTCTCTGTACTTATATTCCGGAGCAATCGTCCAAACAGCATCCATAACTTCCAAATTTTATTGTGCATTGTCATAAACGGGATATTGCTGGAAAGGAATTTTTTTCTCTATCTGTGAGTACCAAATTTAAAAATCAGATCTGTATTGTGTAATCAATTTCTGACTGGAAGTGCATACTTGTGAAACAATGCATGTTTTATGCATTCACCACATAAGTTATTTTGTTGCATAAGTTAATTGCTATATACATGTACTGACAGACATACATGTAAATGTAGGGGGCCTCTACTGTAGTTTGAAGCACCCACTGTAAAAATTTGTACTGTATAACCTCTTGTGGCAATATTCTAATAGATTCATGTAATTTTGATTTGTAAGAATTAGTGTACAATTATGATTGTTTTAGTTTTTGAGCTTTGCGAGACTTTTTTTTCCAAGGCTATAGCAAAGATATAATATTATTTTTTTATTTTGTTAGTTGAAAATTCACTGCGCGTTACAAAAGTAATAACACATTTTGTATATCTTTGAAGACATGACGCCATATTTAGTATTAATAGTGCATAAATTGGGTTTGTTTTTGCACATTTATCAAACTGACTAGCTATACTCTTATGCAGTGCCGTAACATTCTTGATCCAAAATCCCTGTACACCATCAGGTCCTGGAGTTTTCCAACTAGGCATCTTCTTCATAACTCTACCTATACCAATACTTAGATTATCCTGCGTCACTGATGTCCCACCTTCCTCAATCTCTCTTAACCATGTAGCATTCTGATTAAAATCCTTTGCCGTTCCCCAAATCCTCTTCCAAAATGACACACTTTGCTTTGCATCAGGCCCAAACCCTTCCTTTTCAATCCCCCCATCTAGCTGCTGGTAAAACCTCTTTTGATTAGAATTAAAAAGACAATTTTGAGTATACTGCTTGATTCGCTGCTCATACCTCCTCACCTTCCCACTCTTAGCCACTAATCGCTGCTTCAGCTCTTCCAGAATGACTTGAAACCCCTTCCTCTTAATGTTATATTTCATCTCTAACAGCTTATACTTACTCATCTTCTTTAATCTGCCAGCTCTCTTACTCTCCATCACACTTATATTACTTCTTATGACCTTGATATCCTTTTCTAACCTCCTATGCCATCATGGCTTTCTTCCCCTTATAGCTCTGTTATCTTCTAATAACTCACATAGACCTAGCCGTTTAGCAACATTAACGCATATGGCTCTAATTAAACAATTTGTCTCAGTATTATCTGATGTCTTAATATACTTCACTAACTCATTTACTTTCCTAGTTTCTTTTATTAGTCGATATCTATTCACTCTTCGAAAATCATAACGCTCCACTTTATCCTTACTCATAACTTCATGCCAAATTCTCTTCAATTTCATCACCTCCTCACGCACTGCACTCGGAACAGGATCTAAACCACTATCAACTGCACCATAAACATGCTCCCTAATCTTCCCTCAACTACACCTGCATCATGAACCAAACTCTCTTCACAAGCTCCCTGATCCCCAAAGTCAAGCTGACTGACTTCTAGATCCCCAACACATCCTAAAACTCTTTGCCTAATAGCATCTAACTCCACCACACTTAGCCACCTTTTGCTCTTAATCAATCTAACCTGATCACACAGACGCTGCTCAGTTGTTACATATCCGCTATCCTTCCACAAATTAAATTATTGTTATTATTATTATATAGGCGGTAGCCTATATGTAGGATTGAGGTTGGTTTTTCAAGATGGCGACCGTTTTTATGATTTTCAAACACTTATAACTCTTTTATCTTACGTTGTACAGCCTTATAAATGGCTTAGATGAGCCCTCCTTTACTGAGCGATTCTCCTGGTACCTTTAAAGTGGACTGTAATGTAGCGAGAGCTTTTTTGAAGAATAGGCCCAAATTCAAATTTCTGCAAAATTCTTCAGACTTTTTCTTCTTTCTTTCATCTTCTTCTATGGCCCCTCTAATCTTTTAAACCAGAGAACCGCTCCAGTTGGCTTTTACATCATTCCTTCGTGCTTGGGTCAAGGACCACAAAGGTGGATTCAAAAAGAAGCAAGGAGAGAACAAAATGGAAGTCAAAATCCAGCTGCAGACACCGCGTGGGTTTGTGGTTTGACGCCATTTTAATTTATGCGCACGTGATTAGCATGAATATGATTAACCTAACCACAGAATCAAAACAGAATGTAATTTATTAATTTAAGAAAAAAGAATGGAAACAAGTAAATAAAAAACATTAAAAATGGAAAAACAGTAGGATTAAAATGGTAAAAAGTAAAGAAACAAGAGAGTATTTGCAAACTGGTGTGAGAAGATATCCTACACCACTGCATGAACCTGCAAAAGACTATGATTATTCCCAAATACTGAGCAATGCACCATGAAGGCTTACACAGTTACACTAGTGAAGGCTTTATGTT